GTAGCCCAGTGTCGTGGTTTTGTCGTCACACTGATACCAGGTTGTAGCCCAGTGTCGTGGTTTTGTCGCCTCACTGATACCAGGTTGTAGCCCAGTGTCGTGGTTTTGTCGCCTCACTGATACCAGGTTGTAGCCCAGTGTCGTGGTTTTGTCGTCACACTGATACCAGGTTGTAGCCCAGTGTCGTGGTTTTGTCGTCTCACTGATACCAGGTTGTAGCCCAGTGTCGTGGTTTTGTCGTCTCACTGATACCAGGTTGTAGCCCAGTGTCGTGGTTTTGTCGTCACACTGATACCAGGTTGTAGCCCAGTGTCGTGGTTTTGTCGTCTCACTGATACCAGGTTGTAGCCCAGTGTCGTGGTTTTGTCGTCTCACTGATACCAGGTTGTAGCCCAGTGTCGTGGTTTTGTCGTCACACTGATACCAGGTTGTAGCCCAGTGTCGTGGTTTTGTCGTCACACTGATACCAGGTTGTAGCCCAGTGTCGTGGTTTTGTCGTCTCACTGATACCAGGTTGTAGCCCAGTGTCGTGGTTTTGTCGTCTCACTGATACCAGGTTGTAGCCCAGTGTCGTGGTTTTGTCGTCACACTGATACCAGGTTGTAGCCCAGTGTCGTGGTTTTGTCGTCTCACTGATACCAGGTTGTAGCCCAGTGTCGTGGTTTTGTCGTCTCACTGATACCAGGTTGTAGCCCAGTGTCGTGGTTTTGTCGTCACACTGATACCAGGTTGTAGCCCAGTGTCGTGGTTTTGTCGTCACACTGATACCAGGTTGTAGCCCAGTGTCGTGGTTTTGTCGTCACACTGATACCAGGTTGTAGCCCAGTGTTGTGGTTTTGTCGCCTCACTGATACCAGGTTGTAGCTCAATGTCGTGGTTTTGTCTTCTCACTGATACCAGTTTGTAGCCCAGTGTCGTGGTTTTGTCATCACACTGATACCCGGTTGTAGCCCAGTGTCGTGGTTTTGTCATCACACTGATACCAGGTTGTAGCCCAGTGTCGTGGTTTTGTCATCACACTGATACCAGGTTGTAGCCCAGTGTCGTGGTTTTGTCATCACACTGATACCAGGTTGTAGCCCAGTGTCGTGGTTTTGTCATCACACTGATACCAGGTTGTAGCCCAGTGTCGTGGTTTTGTCATCACACTGATACCAGGTTGTAGCCCAGTGTCGTGGTTTTGTCGCCTCACTGATACCAGGTTGTAGCCCAGTGTCGTGGTTTTGTCATCACACTGATACCAGGTTGTAGCCCAGTGTCGTGGTTTTGTCATCACACTGATACCAGGTTGTAGCCCAGTGTCGTGGTTTTGTCATCACACTGATACCAGGTTGTAGCCCAGTGTCGTGGTTTTCTGTATTTGTCTTGCTCTTCTTGGATGGCTTAGGTGATGTACTTGTTCCTCTGGTTTGCAATTTTCAGCTACACCATTTATCCATCTCTTTCTTGGTCTTCCTCTCGCCTTCCTCCCAGATGTTATGCTGCACAGTCTCATATACAGTTTGATCTGGCTGCATTCTCACTAGATGGCTGAACCATTTCATTTTTTATCTGTTGATGTAATCCAGACATGGTCTTATTCCAACTTTCTATCTAATGCTGGTATTCCTAAACCTGTCCCTTCTTGTATTGTTAGTGACCTTACAGACACAGCGCATTTCACATGTAGTTTCTTTTTAAATGTTCTAGTACCCTAATCATTTTCCATGACCGGCACTGACAGTATAAAGTAGGGATGAGGATGCTTTTAATCGTTTGCTGTTTTGCTGGAAGGGAAACATTTAGATGTTGAGGCAGTGGGATTAACTGGTTAGTGACAACATTTTCCTTCTGTACCCTGGCTTCTATCTCTCTATCGAGTTTGCCATCCTCTGTAAATATGTTTCCTAGATGTTTAAATTCTAGTACTTCAAATTGTCTTTCTCTCAAATTTAAATTTTACAAATTCCCATTATCTTAGGTATAAAATCTAAATTATTTTATTCTCTAGTTTTTGGTGCACATCAGTTTTATAAATCTGACTTCTGTGTATACAGACTGTTGGTTCCTCATCTCTCAGGCAGACGAACTACGACTTCGAAGGAAGTATTCCTAATTAATCGGCCCTTATGACTTGCTTGTTGGGGGGGGGGGGGGGGTATTATTCGTTGTTTTTTCCCCCTGTAATAGGGCCACAGAGCTGAGAGAAGAACTGAAACAAAGAAACTTCCTCGAAGTGGGGATTATTGAAAACATTTGAAATGACATACCCCAAAGTGTTGTTAGGACTGCCCTATAACATCATGACCAAATCGTTCAAACCCCACACGTTTGCGTAAAGGGTCATATAATGCTAGAATAATATTTATTACAGGCCAGTCGACACTCTGGCGGTGAGAGGGTTCGCATCACGATAGCATCACGGTTCTATTTGACAGGATATTACACCCTGCCCATTTTTGATTATGTCTACCTGGGAGCCAAAGTTTTCTTGGGATGAAAAAAAAATTCGATGCTGGTC